GATGTGTTAGTAATTGTCTGATAAATGATGGAGTCATCTGCGAACAACGAACGTTGCAAGACACGTGCAGAGCAGGTCATTGATGTATATTAGAAAGACTAAAGGTGAGAGAACAGATCCTTGCGGTACGCTGGAGGTCACTGGTAGGGGGCTAGATGCGCGGTTGTTAACTGTAACGAACTGAAATCGGTTTGTCAAGAATGCTTCAATCCATCGCAAAATGTTGCGGTTAATGTTCGCAAGAGAAAGTTTTAGTAATAGACGTTGGTATGGTACCTTGTCGAACGCTTTTGCGAAATCTAGAAATATCGCGTCTGTCTGGAGGTTAGAATCTAAGTTGGTATAAATATCATGCAGGAAAATGGCCAGTTGTGTTTCGCAGGAAAAGCCTTTGTGGAACCCATGCTGTGAAGAATGAAAGTATTTGTTCCAGTCAAGAAATTTCATAATTTCTGTGTACATGACGTGTTCCATGAGCATACAGAGCACACTCGTTAATGAAATGGCGCGATAAGTAAGCGGGAAATTCCTGTCACTCTTTGTGGATTGGAACAACCATTCCCACCTTCCAGTCATATGGCATTTCACCAGTTGAAAGTGACTGCGAGAACAGCAAACACAGGAAAACCGCGGTGACATGTTTAGTATTCTTTACCAGTTTCGAATTATTGTTATCCACGCCAGCTGACTATGTGAGTTTAACATTGTCGATCAACGATGAGATGTCATCTGGGAATAATGTAATGGTCGGCATATGACTTGTTGCAATGGTACGCTAAAAAAAAGGGGGGCGTGGTGAACTCTTCTGTAAATACAGACACAAAGGCTGCATTAAAAAGTTTCGCGCATTCTATATCGTCGAACGTTTCACCTTCTTCATTGGCAAGTGTTACACTGTGCCTTTCTTGAGGATTTATCACCTGCGAGAATTTCTTTGTGTTATTAATTAAAAGTTTCGGAAGGTCATCGCAAAAGAACGCATCTTTCGCCTTGCGAATCGCTGATAGGTATGCTTGTTGAGCAGCGTAGTATTTTTCCCATGCAAATGTGTCCGTCCTGCATGTAGCGGCGCGATACATTGGTTTCTTTTTGTTTTCTAGTGCTTTGAGCGAATTATAAACCATGGTTTTTGTTCATGCGTTCGAAAGGTAATTTTTGGTATGTACCGGTTCGCTAAGTTGTTTATTTTCTCTTTGAATATCAGCTATTTTTCATTATTGGTGCGGTTATGAAACATATCTTGGAAGAAAGGTAGAAAATTTCGCAAATGTTCACATATTGCATCATTATTACCTTTGTCGTATAAGTGTGTAGTTTTTTCGCGCTTATGCCACAAAGCGGGAGCAAAGCAAAAAAAAAAAAAGCATGGATAACCTTGTGGTCGCTTATTTCTCTAAGAAAGGTAAAGGAGGACAAACTGTCTGGACAGTTGACCAGTATTTGGTCTAAAGTGTTTGCAGTGTCTTGTGTAACACGGGTCGGCTCTGATACAAGTTGTGTTAGATTAAAGTTGAGGCAAACGTCCAGAAAATCTTTCGCTTCAGTTTGGATTACTAAAGAGGGTACGGTGCTCCGCCAATCAACGTCTGGCAGGTTAAAGTCTCGAAAAAGAAGAAGGTTGGCATTTGGGTGCCGAAAGCAAAAGACATTTAGTGTATTGTTTAGTTTACGAGCGAAGTCGGTGCTATTGCGCGGAGGCCTGTAACAAACACCTAAAATGACAAACTGTGGTTCGGCATGGCCTGGAATAAACATTATTTCTAATTCTGATGTGATGTTGATAGCAGAACACGACAGCTGTTGACTAACTGCAATGAGCACACCTCCTCCTCTAGTCCCGTCACGATCTTTTCAAAAGACGCTGAAGTTTGGCAGATCAGCCAATACTTCCGAGTCATAGACGTCGCTACAAAGCCACGTTTCCGTGATTACAAGAACATTGCTGTTCGACGACAGCATGAGGTTAGACACGTGCTCTCGTTTGGGAAGGAAGCTTCGTATGTTAGTGTAAATTATTGAAAGGGAAACATGAGATATAGATTTCGTTCGAGGTGAGTGGCTTGTTTTTTGATGACGCGATGACTGCTATATATCTTTCACATTTTGCGATGCGTCATCGAGCAGGTAACACTTAGAACCAATGAAGAGAGTTTTAAAGTGCAAAGAAAATGACACAGATTTAGCTTTCGCAAAAGAAACAAGTTGCCTGCGGGCGTTTCCAACTGCTGGGGAAAACTCTTCACCGATGCTGAGGTCGGTGCCCTTAAGTTTGCACCCAGTTGAGAGTATCATTTCTTTTTTCTCATAATGATTAAGCCTAAGAATTATTGAGCGCCGACGATTAGCTGAATAGCAACCAACACGATGTGCTCGCTCTATATCTTGAGGTTCAAGTGGCACGTTCAGGTGGTCTGAGCAAAGACGTTTAATTTTTTCTTTAGACGTGGCCGATGTTTCTGATTCTGCTGTGTCAGGAAGGCCGTAAAACACAAGATTGTTTCGTCTTGAGCGATTCTCCGCATCGTCAACTCGCGCATTGAGGGCGTGAACGAGCCTTGCTGTTTGCTCAGTATCCGCCCATAAAGTCTGTATCCCTGTTTGAAGTGGTAGTAGTTTCTGATATTGACCCTCCAGATCCGCTAACCTCTTGCTTAAGTTGACGAGTGCGGCACTTGTAGCCGCGCATTGGCTTTTAGGGTCCTGCAGGTCGGCTATTATTGTGCTTTGGCTAGCGGACAGTGTTTTCAGTTCAGCAAGTACAGAAGAGGTATCAGGACCAGGGTTCGTTTCAATATGTCTTGACTCTAGCAAAATAAACCTAATCACACTAAGACACTCACAGGCAATATCAAAGCAGCACTGCGGGCTCGGAAGCTGTACCAAAAAGTATTTGCTAGTTCTCTTAGTGTAAAGGCAATCTGGTTTACGAACCTGCATGATGAGCAGAAGTGTGTTACTGGTGTGCGTTGTGGCACAGCCACCGAGCCCACAGAGCATGGGCGGTGATCGTGGTTCCTTTAGAGCTGGCTCAGCGATGGTTCTTGTTGACAGCAGGGCTCCCGGTACTTGGACAAGCATCAAGTTTCCAGGCGGAGGCGCAGTTGGACAGGCGGAATTATTGTCAACGCGGATGCGCCGACTTGTCAAGTCAATCCCGATGCACAGGCCTGGCGGTTCCTTCACGACGATCACTGACATTACTACTGCACCCAGTAGCACGCGTGTGACAGCAGAAAGGAAAACCTGCATGATGAGCAGAAGTGGGTTACTGGTGTGTTGTCGCACAGCCACCGAGCCCATCATACATACATACATACATACATACATACATACATACATACATACATACATACATACATACATACATACATACATACATACATACATACATACATACATACACACGCATATATATTCACACATACATACACATATACACACACACATACACACATACATATACACATACACCTACCCCGGCAGGGGCGCCTGCGCAAGTAGGCGTTTGGTGTGTAGCGACACCATGGACCCGAGCTAACGGGGGGATTTCGGTTCCCTCCCACGCTTAGCCGTGCGTGGCTGAGCCGTGTCCGGGGAAAAGGGGATCCTAGGGGTTGAGCCGACGCTGGGTGATTGGACATTTAAGGCCCCCCAGCAGAGGCAACACACCCTTTTGGCCCCAGCTTCACGTAGACGGCACCTCTGGGCTGACCCACCCAGGGGAAATCGGCAGTCAGCCTTTTCCTATCTCTCTCTCCCTACATCTTTGTCTTTTGTTCTCACTTTACATCTTTCCTGTCTTCTCCTCACGTCTTTTTACTTCCAATTTTTCCTGGCGGCAAGGGTTAACCTGGTGTAAATATCGAAACTTGGGTAGACATATTAGGTTATGGCAGTGGCGTACTACTGGCGTTGTGCACACATGTTTACATTGTGAGGGTGGCCGAGAGAGAGCGTTACGTGACGGCGTCATCATCATCGGGACTTGGCCGAGAGAGGGCACTACGTGACGGCGTCATCATCATCATTGGGACTGGAGTGGTGGGGGTGGCGTGTGTGGGGAAGGGGGAGTTCGGGCTGGTTGGAAGGAGTGACAAGATGTAGCGGTGTGTGGTGTGCGATTTAGGGTTAGCGCGTGACAAGTGGGGGCTCGTCCGGGATGGCTTCAGACCCGACAACAGCAGCGGACGACATGCCTAGGCTCCAAGGTCTCGTTGAAGAGCTGTTGCTGGGCACCGACGGCTCTGCCATGGAGCACGAACGAATCGCGGCGGTCGTGCGCGATCGAGTGATGGCGACGCCGCTGCCCACGGCTCTGCACGTGGGAGCATGGACTGGGGTCGCTAACACTGACGCGGTCCCTCGGGCCACCGACGACTCGGCGCCTCGGCTCGCCGCTGCGCACCTCCCCCGCTACTCCGGTGTTAGAGACTTGCAGTCGCCGGAGGAGTTTCTTGAACGTTTGGAAAACTTCTGCCTCGTGACGGGGGTCGCCGCCGATAAGCGACTGACACACGTGGTACCGGCTGCCCTAGAGGGTGGCGCGAAGTTGTGGTGGCGGTTCGTGCGCGGGTTCGACTCGTGGGAGCAATTCACTGCCGCCTTCCGCTCGTCGATTGACGCGTCGATTCTCGTCGATTGACGCGAAGCGTCGCCTGAAGGCGGAGCTCGAACAGCGCACGCCGCACCCGGAAGAAAATTTGAAAGAGTTTATATATGCGATCGCTACGTTTTACGACCGCATCGGGGAAGAGGTCTCCGAAGCCGAGAAGGTGCAGCGCGTACTGAGGCAGATGCACCCTCAGTTGCAAGATTTGGCGGAGGGGCATGCCTACAACAACCTCGCCGAGTTGGTGAAGGCAGCCGATGGCCTAATGGAGCGGGCTTGGCGTCGCCTCCAATACTGACCATCGCCACTTCCTAGCAACCAAGTAGCCAGAGATCTGGCGTTCCGCCCTAGCCAGGCCCCCGACCATCGCTCACTGCCGCAGCCGAACACTATGGCGACGGCGTCGTTCGCTTCGTTTGCTGCTGCCCCACCGGCACCGCCGACTTATCACTGGCCACTGCATCCAGCTGCGCTAGACCCGTCGTACTGCCGGGACCGACAGTACTCGTGCGACACAGCGCCTCCGTTCTCACCCTACGGGCCAGGACCGATGCCGCGGCAGGAGCCCGCGAGTGGAGCAATGCGTGTGCAGTGCCATCGCTGTGGTGGATTCGGCCACATATCTCGTAACTGTGCCACGGGTCGAGGAATGGGGCCACCCGTTTGCTTCCGGTGCCAGCGATTGGGTCACCTGCAAGCACAGTGCCCGGGAAACCAGTGGCGGTAGGTGCTGCCCCGGCGGGCACCTACGGCAGTGCGCACCAAGTAGCGACCACAGCCGGTGGCAAAGAGCCCCTTATGGACGTCCGTATCGGGTCGTCGACGTTCAAGGCCCTGCTAGATACAGGCTCAAGTGTAAGCTTCTTCGGACCACACGCCGCGGCGGCGGCCCAAGCTTCTGGAGCCAAACCCAAGGCAGACGTACGCGTGCTGCGTTTGGCATCAGGCTGGTCGCAGTCAACCAGGTCTCTGAAGTGCCAGATCGAGTGGGCTGCCGGTTGCCGCAGACAGCAGTTTTTGTGCGTTCCTGACCTGTGCCGTGACGTTGTACTTGGTAGGGATTTCTTGACGGTGAGTGGCATCTCTCTGCACGTGTCACTTGGTGGGTGGACTGTCGGCACAGAACCACAAAGAATTGTGCCGTTTGTCAAGGCCGTTAAGGAAAAGCCAGAGGCAGTGGATGATTTTGGAGACAGTCTGCGCTGCATTTTTGCTGAGGGCGATGCCAGTGTGTGTGCCATTGTGCCGGAGGCGACTGCAGCCTGCAATGTGATCATTCTCGGCCACTCGTCGGACCTAGACCCACGCACGAAACACATTTTAGAAGAGTTCAGCGAAATCTTCACCACAACTCTGGGCTGCACAACCCTGGCAGAGCATCACATAGACACGGGAGACAACCCACCTGTTCGATGCAAACTGCGACCAGTGAATTCCAAGAAGCAGGCCATCATGGACAACTGCATTCAAGACCTGCTGGCACAGAACCTCATCCGCCCTAGCCAAAGTCAGCATGCCAGTGCTCCAGTCTTGGTTGAGAAGAAGTCTGGTGGCTACCGCATGGCTATGGATTACCGCCAGCTAAATGCACGCACTAAGGTGCCAGTCTACCCCATGCCGAGGACTGATTGGTTGCTGGCACAGCTGGGACGAGCCAGGTGGTTCTCAAGTTTTGATCTTTCACAGGGTTTTTCAAATCCCTGTTCAAGAGCAAGATATTCCAAAGGCAGCGTTCATTTGCCATCGGGGAACCTTCGAGTTCATGAGAATGCCCTTTGGAGTTGCCGGAGGTCCTGCCACGTTTCAGACCCTGATGGACCGACTACTGGAGGGAATTAATCACCAGTTTGCCATGGCGTTTCTCGATGATGTCCTGGTGTATTCGGAGACCCTAGGGGATCATCTTGAGCATGTTCGGGAGGTGTTGAAGCGGATAAGTTCGGCACAGCTGACCATTAACCCCGAGAAGGTACACGTGTGCTGTCAATACATTAAGTTCCTTGGCCATGAAATATCGCCCGGGCAGTGTAGGCCGGACAAGGAAAAAGTGCGAGCGGTGCTGGACTATCCTTAACCAACAACACTCAAACTGCTGCAGGCCTTCCTGGGACTAGCAGGCTATTACAGAGGGTTCATACCTCAGTTTTCTATCACTGCACGTCCACTCACAGAACTCCTTAAGAAAAAGCAATGTTGGCGGTGGGAGCTGCAGCAAGAGGAAGCCTTTAGAGCACTTAAGCAGTCCCTGGCCGACGATGTTGTTGTAAATTTGCCGGACCTCAACAGACCATTCGTCGCGGAAACAGACGCCAGTGGAGTCGGCATTGCAGCGGTGCTTCTGCAGGCAGCCGAGAGTGATGCTCAACTGCGTCCAATCAGCTTCATTAGCAGGGTCCTCACTGAGGCAGAGCAGCGCTATACAGTGCAAGAATGGGAGTGTCTGGCTGTGGTGTGGGCAGTGGACAAGTTCCGACCATACCTTGAGTTCACCGAGTTTGAGGTACACTGTGATCACTCCTCACTATCCTGGATGTTCACCACAGACCAGGCCTCACCACGTGTAAAGCGTTGGGTTTTGCGGCTGCAAAGTTTCAACTGCAGAATCAAGCACAGGCGGGGTCTTGCAAATGTGCCAGCCGACGCCTTGAGCAGAGCTCCCCTTCAGCACCAGGAAGTTCCAAGCCCGAGTCTACACGAGACGCTGTTCCCTATGGCTGTTCCAGAGCCCAGCCCACAAATCAGCTTTGAGGCAGCTGCTGTAGCATCTCAAGTGGACGACACTACTGTCTTGAATGATGCAGGGCTCCTCGCCCAGGAACAAGAGCAGGACCCCATACTGTCAAAACTACGAACTGTGATGAAGGGAGGGAAGCTTCCGCCCACTGACAGTGATCAACTTTGATCAAAGACCTGGCGAAGACGACCGAGATGGAAGAGAGTGCGTTGCTTGTACAGCACCGAGGGAACAGGAAAGTACCTTGGCTACCAAACCATCTCTGCAACTTGGTCCTGCGACTGTCCCATGACCAACCGATTAGCGGCCACTCCGGCTTTTTTAAGACCCTCAAACGCGTTTCTCAGAATTTCGTGTGGCTGGGTATGCGCTCAGACATATCCAAGTATGTGCGATGCTGCCAGGTGTGTCAGCGCACCAAAGCCCACCGGTAGAAGCCAGAAGGGCTGATGAGCAGTCAATGGGCCACTGCCCCTATGGAACAGCTCAGCGTGGACATAATTGGGCCCTTGCCTATGACGCCTCGACGCCACAAGTACCTTCTCGTGGTGATTGACAAGTTCACCAAGTTCATTGAACTTTTTCCGTTGCGGGCAGCAAACAGCAAGAGTGTGGTGGCCTGCATGATCCAGGTTTTTTGCGGACATGGCACACCTGTTTCCATTTCAAGTGATAATGGAAAGCCGTTTGTAAGCAGGTTGTGGAAGGGCCTCCTTGAGCATTGGGGCATACAAGACCGACACACTGTTCCGTACCGCCCTGCCGGGCAAATGGTGGAGCGCCACAATGGCATTATCAAGCAGTGCCTTAGGGCTTATTGTTCTAACCACAAAGACTGGGACCAGCACATGCCTGAAATTGCTCTAGCCATGCGCACGGCTGAAAGCGTTGTCACGGGCTACACGCCTGCCTTTCTCTGTTTTGGCCGGGAGCTGAGAACCCCATGGACACATGCTGAGGCCAAAGACGACGCGGAGCCTCCTGCGACAGCATACCGTGCATTTGCTACTGAGGTCTCCAAGTGTCTGTAGGAGGTACTTGACTTCTCTAGGACACACCAAAACCACATGTGGCGCGCTCAGAAGACTCGCTACGACCAGCACAGGCGGCCACTGACAATACAGGAGGGTGATCTTGTTCTGCTCGAAAGCCACTCCCTCAGCGATGCCACCAAGGGCTTCTCCTCGAAGCTTGCACCCCGGCGTTTCGGTCCCTTTCGGGCAGTGAGACGTGTAGGACAGAATGACTTTGTTCTAGTGGACCCCAAAACGGGTCGTCGCCACGGTGTGAGACACGCAGATCAGCTGACACTGTACCATGACGCTGCAGGCGATGTGTAGTGGTGGCTTCACATTTTGAGGGGGGGGGGAGACCTGTGAGGGTGGCCGAGAGACGGCGTTACGTGACGGCGTCATCATCATCGGGACTTGGCCGAGAGAGGGCACTACGTGACGGCGTCATCATCATCATTGGGACTGGAGTGGTGGGGGTGGCGTGTGTGGGGAAGGGGGAGTTCGGGCTGGTTGGAAGGAGTGGCAAGACGTAGCGGTGTGTGGTGTGCGATTTAGGGTTAGCGCGTGACAACATGTTCTGCCACGTCCCCTTGTTGGGCTCCGTGGTGGGTGGTAGGCGCAATTACTGAACGAACTGCACTTTTCTATGGGATCACAAAACCCCTTCTCCATTGATCGCCCCTTCAAAAGGTGGCACACCAAAGCAAACGTAATGCCGATTTCGGAAAAACAAGACCATTTTCCTAAGTACGACGTTATTTATTGCGAAAACTCGGACAAAAAGCTCGCAACATCTCCCCATTCCTCGTGTCCAGGTGCCTAACCGAGACTATCGGAACTGGCTATAAGGCTACAAAGATGGCAAGCGGAGACTTGCTGGTAGAAGTTAAAGACAAAACACAGTTTCAGAAACTAGAAAAATTAGTAGCATTTGGGGACAAGCCCGTAACCGTCTCTAAGCACCGAACGATGAACACCGTCAAAGGCGTTGTGTCAGACGATGACCTAAAAGACCTAACAAACGATGAGCGTCTGGCTGGCTGGAAGAACGAAAATGTCATTCACATACAGCGTATCATAGTGAGAAGAGAAAACAAAGAAAATCCAACCAAGCACATAATTGTGACCTTCGGGTGCTCCACACTACCGCATGAATTAGATACCGGCTACCTTAAACTGTCTGTGAGACCCTACAGTCCGAATCCGCAGCGCTGCTTCAAGTGCCAAAGATTCGGACATGCTTCTCAGAGTTGCCCTGGGCTGCTTACCTGTGACCGGTGTTGTATCACAGGCCACTCTTCAGATGATGACTGCAAGGCCAAACCGCACTGCGTGAACTGCGATGGGGAACACGCGGCGTATTCTTGAACCTGTGCAGTATGAAAAAAAAAGAAATAATTACCATCAAAGTCACCCACAATGTCAGTTTCCGCGAAGCAAGGCATCGCGTCTCCCCTTACTATGCAACAAAATCATTTGCTGAAGTGTTGCAACAAGGGGCAGCACCACGACGGCATCAGGTGGCCGCCCAAGCTACGCACAGCATGCTGGAGCGACCGCCGCTTGCCCGTACTGCGGGAGTAGCCAAGGCTGCTCTGGCCTCAGTCAACACAGCCACACCACGTGCGTCGACATGCACTGGCACGTGCCAGGGCAACGGGCAGACTGCGGGAGCCCCGTCGATGTCCGGTGTAGAGGGTTTGAAGGCTTCGTATCTTGAGCCGAAGCTTACAACGCCCACGGTTCGCTCGGCAGAGCGATGGTCCAACGCTTCTCATGAAGCTATGGACAAAACCGCCAGACTAAAGCCGCCTGCAGTGCCGAAGGAGCGGTGAGTTTCTCTCGACCGCTCCAAAAAGGACAAATAACAAATTACACGGCCTCCAAAAAGTCCTGTAAAATAAGTTTCGTTTTCCATAACCTTAAAGGTTGTGGTACCACTCTGTTTTGACTATAGTATCACACACATGTCAGCAAGGT